TGTTACTGCTTTAGGTTTTTTTGTTCCCCCTATTGAATGTGAATTTATTTCCTTTAATGATTATAAGGGAACTCATGGCAACCATTTCTGTTTGAGACAGTTTTGGTAATGTATGTATATTTATAGAATTGTCTGTCTTAGCTGTTTTTTTTTACCCAAATTTATTGTAGGATCATTCTGTTAAGCTTAATATATTGCTTAAATATAACTTCTCAATGCAGTTTTGATCATTCTATAAATTTCTGAGAGATGCATATTAATTCTGAGGTTGAGGATTTATGAGATGTTTTGTGTGTATGTGTGTGTGTGTGTGTGTGAAAGATAGACACTATATCAGTAACTTTTTAACTATTATATTTCACTTGAAACTTGAGAATTTTCAGTCACCGCATCTTGTTATTAGACTTGGAAGCATGTTTTCACTTGTAGCCTTCTGATTCATTCTTGAGTAAAAGTTATCTTGGATTGAAAAGACCTGAGAATAAAACTCTTTGGGTCATTTTTTATTTGAAAGTATTTCTGATTGTTGAAAATTATGCATCACTTACTCCCTAAATGTACTTTTTCAGTATTTAAAAGATGGTTTTGCTGTTGGCAGATATTTACACTCCATCCTGGGGACATATTTATATATGCTAACATTATGTTCATAATTCCAGGTAATATTTTGAGTGTGCCCTCAGACAGAAATACATTAAGTGTTACACCATGACCTGTATGCATTAAATACTTACTAACCAATATTTCTTTTCATTCTAAAAGATAAGGAAGTTGGCTTGGCTGGTGTTTAGACTAACTTGTTTCCCCTCTTTTTCTTATTTCTTTTCATGCATTAGTCCATGAACATGAAATCAGAATAACTTATTTGGAAATGAATATAAATTTTAAAGATCTGTGTCAGGGAAATTAAATGTGCAAGTAGGAGATGGGGGAGCTGGCAGCCTTCAAGCAAGGGGTTGTAACTTTGAAGCAAACAGCCTGGACAGAAAGGAAATGCTTTAGTAATTAGGGTCATTGGCTTCCTGCCTGAAGCAGCACACAAATTCACTGATAAAGCAAATCAAGAAAACTTGCTGAGGAACAGCATGTCTGCCACCTGAAGTCTTGCTATCACACCTGTGCAGTTGGGGGCATCCATCCCTCCTGCCTCATGGGTGCCTTGAGGCTCGCCATCGTATATTTAATCTCAGTGAGTTGGGTAAGTCAGTAGAAGCCTCGGCTTTATAGAAAGTGAACCCTGTTCAGTTCAGCAGAACCTGGCACAGTGCCCAGCCGAGCACAACATTTTCTCAAAGGTTTCCGAGCCTTTATAGAACATGATTTCTTTTGTGGCATCTTTAACTCGTAAATCTTAGTCCTGGTATTTGCAGACATTAAAGATAATAGTGTCACTTCTCTCCTTTTACAGGAAGCTAAATATGCTTTCTGTTTATACCAGCTGTTCTGCTGATAGTACCTCAACAAAATCAGTGTTCTCTGGGGTGAGATCTCCTCGCGGGCTCCATGGTTTTCCTAAGTGTGTCTCGGTTCTTCAGAGCATCCTCCTTAATTCCCATGTCCCTCTTCATGCTTGACTTGCCCACTGTGTCATAGTTGTCATGTGGTCATCTGTCGTGCTTAGTAGCTGCTTCCAAAGCAGGTGAAAGCTGACCAGCTGTCAGTTTCCTCTTCCTCTTATCAGCAAATACCAGAGTCCAGCAAACCACAGACTTAATATGAATGACTGCTGAATGCTTGCATTTCATTTCTAAGAATGTGATACTACTTTGTAAGACCTCAGTTATTTTTACAGACATTTTTTTAAAAGTTACAGATTTCATACACATCCTTTCTTTCAGATTTTGAAGAAAGCAGAATAGTTTTCTATCCTATTCTATTAACTTTTGTTCTATATGACAGAGAACATTGTATAATTTTTCAATACACACTACTTCAGAACTTGCTTTTGCCAAGTATTTGTTGAGTTATGTCATGTCAAAGTATCTACTACTTTAAATGACTGGAGGGTTCTGTGATATGTAGAGAAACAATTACAACTTTCTGTTGTTCACATGTGTAGTTCTCAATTCTGCCTTAATGTTAGCATAGACACCTGTTTATTTCCATTGGGATATAAATTCTTACCAGTTTCTGTAGGATATAAATTCTGTTGTCACCCATACCACAATGCTTCATAGTCTTCCTTGCTCTTTCTAGAACATTTTGGATCAACTACTGGGCATTTGCAGCTGCAGTTCATTTCCCCTGGTATGCTTTTCCCCCAGAGAGTCACACCAGTGTGCCTACTTCCTTAACTTCTTGAAGTTGCAACTTTTCATTAAGACCTTCCTCAATACAGCCTTCTCTCTGTTCCTTCTCTGATTCTGTATAGCCCTTGTGATCACCTGCTTTTCTAAATTTGTATGTAATCTCCCCTTTACCTGAGAGTAAAGATGCCAGTTTTGTTCTCTTTTGTACTCCAGAATTAGATCCATGCCTGCCACACAGCACACACTTAATGAATGGTTTTGAATGAATGAAAATGTGAATGAATAAATTACTCCATCAGAGAGTAGACACCTTTTGCAGATTTGGTGCATGTTGCCAATTTTTGGTCCCTCTGATGCATTAAAGATTATAATATTTTTATCATCACTCAACTTAGAAAACAGCTCTGACTCTTCTGTGTTGATTTTATTAGTAAGAGAAAACTTTTTAAAAGCCTTTGCCCTTTCCCACAAGTCCCTGCCATGGGTGTGAAACCACCATGCTTTGCTCAGGGTTGTCATGATTCACTTCCAGGTACTGCGGAGGCCAGACATCCTTGTAGGATAATATTATAGGGGTCTGTTAGCACATGAGAGCTGAAGAATGTCTGTGGAGAATCAACCCTTGATTCCCTGACTGTTGTTTTGATTATCTTTTAAAATGGAACAAAGATTAATATGCTTTTGAATAACTTTTTTTATTGAAATAACTCATGATCCTTATTGAAGACTTGAAAAATACAGAGGTTAAAAAAATGTTTTTCCTGACATTTACTCTGCTCCTTTTCTCTGAATTTTTACGTAGACATAACTATATACCGTTAGTTCTGTATATGCTTGTAGCAGTATTTTTATTTAAACCTACAGCAGTAATTTTTTTCATGATTTCTTTTTTTACAAATTATGCGATTTCATGCCTGCATGACTTTCCATGGACTTGTATGAGTTTCATATTGCTTTACATTTTTAGATGTAAAGTTGTTTTTTCCTTCCCATTATTATCAATAATAATGTCATGGTATTTAATGTATAACACAATTTCAGCGTTTAGGGCTTTTAGAGGATAAATTCCCAGAAGTGAAATTGTGTCAAAATTCATGAACGGTTTACTGCCAAATTGTTCAAAAGAATTGTCCACTTGCACTGCCAGTAGTAATGTTTGGAAGTGGAGCTGTTTTATGTCAATTAATAGTGTATCATAAGAAAGCGGTCATCGACTTGTTCCCTTCTGGAGCTTCATTCCAAGCAAACACTAATAAAAGCTTAAATAACTCTAGTGGCTGTGGTTCAGTGGGTCTCTGATGTCAGCTTGGTGCAAATTTTAATAGCCCAAGGGGTTTGATTTCCTTTTATTTTCTTTCTCCTCTGCTGTTTTCCTCCCTCCCGGGTTTGAAACATGTTTTCCTGGCTATAGTTAAGCCTTAGTACTTCTTGTTCTGTCTTTGTTGATTAATGAGCATAATTGACCCCTGTTGTCTCTATTATACAAACTGCAGCAATTTGTTTTTATGTAGCAGTTATTTTCTGAGCTGTCACAAAACAGCCTTACAAAGAGAGCTCATTATCAGTTCCCAGGAAAAGAATTTTAAGTGATGAAGTGAATAAAGCTTCCTCAGAGGAGGAGGAGGAGAAGTCTAAGCCTTTCACATGTTCAAGAAAACAAGTTTGAGTTCTGGGGCCAGAATAAGTAATTGTTGCTTAGGTGCCAGCAAGATGTGGTTGTATCTTGAAATTATTAGATTAAAAATGACTCTCTTCAGAGAGTCGTGAAGGCAGGGTATAGAGGATTGGATATGAAACCAAGGAAAGATATAGCCTCACATTTTATGAGTGGGTACGAGTTATGAAATTGATTGTAGAAAACCCAATTATATGTTTATTAGTAAGGGGTAGATAGTTTCTAAATCGGAAATTTTTATCTGAATAGGTATTGACCATAAAGAATGCCCAAGTTCTTTTGGTTTGCTATTCATTTATAAAGTGTTTTCCCCCTCTATTTTTTTTCCTTCCAACATGATTTTGCTGAGATTTCTGTTCATTCACAAAGCTAAAGAAGTAGCAAAAATCCACGGAATACAGCTTTTCAGACGTACCCCCAAAGCTACATACTTGAGAGACCCACCTTCTCCAATTCTCATTTTCCTGTCTTCTTTGCAATTTAGTTCTAAAGCAAAACTTAATCCTCCCCTTCTTTCATTTGTTTGGGGTATTTCTCACTAAAACCTCAACTCCTTGTTTCTGTTTTACCCTCTGTTACTTTTCAAAAACCACCCCCTCTGTTTTCTTTTTTTCTAATAGTCTCATGCTTTCCATAAAGATATTGAGGAGCAAATTCACATGCACACGGAATTTACCTGAAGGGAGTTACTAGAAGGTAGTCATATTTCTGCTGAAAGAATTGTATCATCTTTTGTGTAATAACCTATGTTATTTACTCCCCCTTAAAGCATTATCTACCCAACAGCATGTGCGGATGTGGGTGAATCCTACCCTTAGACCTGATGTCAGGCACTGCATCATGATGATGATGGTATACCTTACTTGTGTGTAGTACTTTACATTGTGCAAAATATTTCATTTGACCTTCGTAAAATGGAATGCACTCTCAGGCTTGAGGAAGATCACCATCCCAGCGAGGATGAGGGTCTGTTCCTCATCCCTGATAAGTTTCACTGCTCACATACCCGGAAGCTGATCATTTGCCTGAGATGTAGTTTGACTCATGCTGTGTTATCTGTGTTTTGTCCTGCACAGGCTACTCTGGCCAGGACTTTGACTGGGCCGATTATCACAAGCGGCATGGGACAGAGGAAGCACCTCCTTTTTGCTTCAGAAACGTAAGAAGCTCATCTTTTACTACTTTTTTATCATAAATGTTCACCACAAGCATTGTAAGTTGCTTTCTATTTATGGAGCAGAGTTGGAATGTTAACCTATAGCACAGGACCCAAATCTGCCCTGGTTTCTTGGTCTCTTTTCAGCGGATGTGTTAGTTGAGGTGATACTGGGTGGTAGTAACAAACTGGCTGCTAAAAATGTAGCTTTTCAAGCATGTTTTTGGTTTATTTCTCATTCATGGAGGGGCCCAGTGTCTTCCTGGTTCCAGGTGGCTCTCATGGTGAGTCTTGGGCTAGATCTCTATTAGTCTTCAACTGTGTCTAGTGGGTAGACAGGTGAAGAGATCAAGGAGAAGATATCTGTATTTATAAACACATGGCTAATATTGATGCATTTTAAATTAAATGTTAATGTTGACAAATTTTCATTTGCTCACCTCCTTTTGGGGGAAGCTTGTACGTGTGATAAGTGATTCCAGGCACTGTGTCCTGGACGGCTATTTCCCAGCCATCATTCCATGCCGTGGAAGAGGAAAGACAAATTTTGGTGGGAAGTTAGCCACCTGTGCCATGGCACGTGCTATCAGGTAGAGTATCAATAAATCCAGTGCTGGGAAAGTTGCTGGTAAAGTATAGTCTTAAAATATGATCTTTAATTTTTTATTTTAGTAAGGAACTAGACTAACAATTTTGTCCTTTACTTATTTTAAGCTACTTTCTAATTCACATAGAGCTTACTGGCATAGTAATAAGATTTTTTTGTGAAACATTAAATAGCTGTTCACACGTGTCCCTGATTAATTATAGGTTGATTATATAAAGTCATTTATAAATTATTCAGCTAAATTTCATCAACCCTGGCAACTATGAAAAGAGATGAATTATCCATTTAAAGAATGAGACAATATATATTATGTATTATCCTGTGTGTTGAGCATATATTGAGTTAGGAGAGTAAATTCCTATGCTAAAAGATGCAGTCTTCCAGTTGGATAACAAAGACAGTGGGATGTAGACTACTTCCCAAGGACTTGTTTTCTGCACATGTGCTCCTAGAGTTGCTGAGTCATTGCAACCCCACCCAGAGAAACTCCATATGGAATTTGGAGAATTAAATAGGTTACTTACTAGGTCAGCCTCTACTCAGAAACAAGTCACTGGCAAAGTTGGAAATCAGGGCTCTGTAAATGATTAAATGAACTTTCTATTGGGTGACATTGCTGTTGCATAAAAGTAGCTTTTCTATACCATCAAAAGAACTGTGTGATAGGTAGGAGTTTAGGTTTATGTAGGGAGCTGCTGTGTAGCTAGTTGGATCATCATGAAGCTAGCAACTGGTTAGGTTGGAAGGCTTATTAGGCCTAATGTGGTCTTCTTTTACCTATTGGAGTCATTTATCCCAGAGTTGATTGGTCTCACTGCCTTTTATTTAAAATCACATCCTTAAATCCCTCTGAGGTTGTACTTTCTAACTGACAAGAGAAATAGTTTCATGGGAAGAAAATTCTGAGATCTCCCCCTGCCCACCCCCAGGTCTGTATTTCAGGGTTGTTCTTCTATGATAGCATATTTCTATTAAGGGTTCTTGTTTCGCTCCTCTGCTCCCATTCTGCACTCAGCCAGCACCTGTCCAACTAGATTTTAATAGTGGAGTGAGTAGTCACATCCTCAGGTGTTTCTGAGCTTTCAGGAGTTAGCTGCCAAGATTAAATCATATTTAATGAATATGCTAGTGTTCTCATTAGGAATGCACTTGTTACAAATATGCCCCTTTGTTTCTGGCTCTGTGCTTATTTAATCAACAGGATTGTTATCTGCCTGTTGGCATATGCATTGCAATGCTGTCACTTGGCTGAATTTTGTTAACTTGCTACGAGTGCTTTTTAATGAAATGCTTAATGTAAGTTCATTTTTTAGTTGCACATCTTCTGTACTAGAGGAAAGGCAGTGTGGAAATGCATGTAGCGAAGACATTTCCCAGGGGATGTTTAACCATCACAGGTACTTGCTAAATGCTTAGTAAAATAAACTCTCAGCTAACTGTTTTGCTATTGATCCTTTATAAATTGCCCTTGAGCAGTGAGTTGAAACCAAAATAGGTTATGTGGCTGTAGCTTGTCTTTATTAAGTAGGATAAAACACATTTTGACTTACTTCGAGGCTTTTCAGGTAGCCTATCCAGTTGTATTTGCAGTAGAAGCTCAATACATGATAAACATGGCTAAGGCAGAATGACTTACAGAAAAGTAGTCCATCTAGAATATCTTCAATTCCTGTTTCTAGAGAAAAATACAACGGAAAAGAGCAGATTAGTTTCTTAACATGTATTAGATAATTTTTCTGGCTACATAGAGATCTAATTTTATTTTCAACTTAATGTATAGAAAATGTATATAAATGTGACTTACTTTAGTTTCTTTTCATTACTTTAGTTTCATTAGTTGGAAATTTTCTTATTTATCTCAAAATAAGTTAGGAGGGAGTTTTGCTTCCTGTATTGACTAGGTAAGCTCAAACTGCTTAACCCCCAGCAAGAGCAAGTATAAACTCTGGACAGAAAAACAAACCACTGCCTGAGGGATGCAGAGAATGAACCAAAAATAGGCAGATTTTGAAAGCAAGCAGATGCTTAGAAAAAAAAGAACATCAGGGATGATTGTTCCATGATTTTTTAGACTTTGGGCCTGAGGTCTGCTACATTTGATAACATACAGAATAATATGAGAGTCTTCCTACCTAATGAACCAGATAACAGAATTTGGACAAAGCTGCTAGATAGTGAGAGGAGACTCAGGGAGTTCCAGAAAGAGGGAATCACAAGCTCTATGTATAAACTTTGCCTAAATCTTTAGCTAAGCCTTAAAAAACTCCTATGTAGCTTGGCTAGGATGAAGGAACGAAACTGAGGTTTGAGTTTCTTCTCAAGAGTAGGAGTTTATAGTCAAGTTAATTGCTTGCTGAAGCAAAAAACAAACGAACAAACCCAGCACTTGTTACATAAATATAACACAATCCAGAGTCACTATAACATAATGTTTAAAACATGCAGGTTTCAATCTAGAGTTGCTCAATACATGAGGAAATAGGAAAATTTGACTGATTCTCAGTAAACAGTATAATCAGCAGAGACCAAATGAACATAACTCAGGAATTGAATTAACAGACAAGTGTTTTTAAATCCCCTACTGTAACTCAGTGGTGTAAAGCTATGAGTCCCGAACTGTAGGCCAGCAGCTTCAGCTTCCCCTGGGAATTAACTAGAAATATGAATTCTTTTACCTTACGTCAAATCAAAGGAATCTAATTTTTGGAGTGAGACCCAGAAGTCTACATTTTTAGAATACTCTCCAGCTGACTCTGAGACACCTGAAATTTGAAAACTTTTGATGTAAAAGAAATTACTCTCATAATGAATGACAAGGTAGAGAGTCCCAGAAGAGTAGAAAACATAAAAAAAAAGAAATATTAGAAGTGAAATTACATTATCTGGTAAACAAATTCAATGTAAGAGCTTCATAGCAGAATGCAAATGACAGAGGAAAGAGTCTATAACTTTGAGGATGGAAATTATCTTTTCTCAAGAACAGGAAAGAAAAAAAAAAGATTGAGAATAGGGGAGACAAACAATATTGAAGAGCAGGAGAATAAGAAGATATATAGTTAAAGACCCAGAAAATATGGCTACAGAGACTGGAGAAAAAAAAATGTATAAAAAATTAATGGTCAACATTTTGTCACAGTAGCTGAAAGATCTAAGCAGTTTAACAACCTCAGAAAGCTCTTACCAGCCTAAGTACAAACAAATCCAACAAACATGAAATCATTGATACAAATATATGGAGAAATAGCTTGATAGTATATGGAGAAAAATATGATACCCTCCAAAGAGAGGAACAATGATTAGAATAATAGACATCTCATCATCAGAAACAATGAGGCAGCAACAGTGAGCCAGCATCGTTAGAATGCAAGAGAAAGAACACTGTATCCAACAAAAAACATAAGTCCTGAATGGAAGATAAAAATAGACACTTTATCAAAGACAGAAACAAGTGAAGAAATACTGAACTTCATTATTCCTGAGAAAAATGAAAGATAAAAGCACAATGCACCATCACTAGCCACCAAGTAGACTGGCTAAAATTTGAAAACATGGCAGAACCAATTGTTGGGGAGATGTTTAGCATGGAACGCCCTACTTTGTTGATGCAAATGCAAAGTGATATGTTGGAAAAGACAGATTCTTTGAAAGGTAAACACACATGTACCTTGGAACATTGATGTCTACACAAATGAAAGCTTCGATTTATTGACCAAAAGCTAACCCTCCAGTTCTAGTTCTCAGTACCTCAGAATGTTACTATATTTGGGCTGAGGTCTTTAAAGAAATGATTTAGGTAAAAATGAGGTGTGTGTATATATGTGTATGTGTTTGTATGTACATATATATGTATATATATGTATATACATGTATATATGTATATACACATACATACACACACACACACACATATGTCATAATCTAAACTGAAGAGAAGATGAAAACCCAGACCACAGTGGGTGGCACAGTGGGTGGGAGCACTGTGCTGCAATCTAAGCCAAGCCATGGCTGCTTCAGTACCAGTTGATCCCCATTCTGGAGGTGACCCATATAGCGCAGCAGACCTCTCATGACTCTCCTGCTGCTCCCCTCAGCAGTATACTTTGTTGATCTGCCTGTTCTGCACCCCACTCTGTCTCTGGTGATTCCTCTCACTGCCCCTGCACCTCTGGCCTGTATCCCATTTCTCTATGCATAAATAAATAAAATCTTTAAAAAAAACACACACACACACGAACCCAGACCACATGTGTAGAGGAAAGATCTTGTGAGTCGATGGCAATCAGCAAGCCAAGGGGAGAAACTTAGGGGCAGCCAGCCCTGCCACACCCTGCTGCTGGACTTCCACTCTCAGAATTGACACAGTAAATTTTTGTTTTTAAGCCATCCATTGTGTAGTGTTTTCTTAGAACAGCCCCAGCAGATTGATATACTTTCTGTCATATCAAAAACTTGATTTGAATGATTCTAGTGCCTTAATTCATAATCACTGAAAGTGGAAACAATTTGAATGTCTTTCAACTGAAAAGCGGATGACCCAACTGTGGTCCGTCTATAGAAACTACTCAGTGATAAAATGCAGTGAGCTGCCAATACATGCAGTGGTGCGGCTGCCTCTTGGTGTCATCCATGTAGTTAGTGAAAGAAGCCAGACTATGTACTATCTGAGTCCATCTATGGGATATTATGGACAGGTGAGATTGCAGGGACGGAAAATAGATCAACGGTGCAGAAACTGGGCTGCTGAGGGGTAGATTATGAAAGGAGTGGGGAAGGGTGTTTCGGAGATGAAGAGACTGTTTTGTATCTTGATTGTGTTTTGATTTCATGCTCGTGCACCAAAAAAGTGAATTTTTAAGTCATTTTAGAAAGTAAGTAAAATAGAAATTAAAACCACAAAATTAATACAAGGACAGTATCAGAAGGGAACTGCTGACGTTCATTACCAGCAAACAGGCACTAGAAGAAAGTCTAAGGGCCATTCTTCAGGCTCAAGGGAAGTGATGAGAGACAAAGCCCCAGTCTTTCTTGTTAAGTACCCGCTAATGTGCCAGGTGTGATGTGAAGAATATAGGGAAAGAGAAGAAATGGTCTGTGCTGGCTGATTCTGTAGAAGCAAGGGTGCATGTAGGCTGCAAGAGAGCGCGTGATCAGTCATCAGCTGACATTATTAGGTACCAGCGTTCTAACTTCTGGGATACAAATGAACAGTGCGTGCTTCTGTCTCATGAATGGTTGGGAGACAAGTGCAACGAAACCCGTGAGTTTTATGAATGAGACCCGTGTGTGTGCATGTCTGGATGTGTGCCTTCCAGCTTCTACACAACCGGACTGGTGTCTGTGCGCTCAGTGTCAGTTCTTTCTCTTTCAGACATCGTTCAGTCGAGGTTTCACAAAGAATATGAAACTTGAAGCCGTAAACCCCAGGAATCCAGGAGAACTCTGTGTGGCCTCTGTCGTCAGTGTGAAGGGGAGGTTGATGTGGCTTCACCTGGAAGGTACGCATCCTCGGCCATCATTCTGAAGACTCAGGGTCCATCTGTAGAGGACGGGAGGCAGGGAACGCCAGCCCTTCTCAGAGATGCTTTTGCTTCCCTTTTATTTAAGAGATCTTAAATTATTCAGTGTTCTTAAATAAGTGAAACTAATCAAATATGAATTCATTCAGAGGCACTCATTTTAACTAATAATTTCATGAAATGAGATGCTGGCGTGATAATTATGTTTGGAACACAGTGGTCTTTTTGCTTCTATGATTATGAAAGCTAATGTCACAATTAAATTAGTATGAGTCACTAAAACTGGTATTTGAGGTCTTGGTTATTATGATGATAAAATTATGTATTTGCATTTTAGTGTGAATAATACCCTTTAACTTGGGTGTCTCCTTTAGATGTTTAATTTTTCCTTTACATAGTAACTGGAGATGATTTTCTTTCCAAATGTATAATAAACAGGACTTAGACTTGTTTGTTTAATGATGTATAAACTTGTTTATAGCTTTACTTTATTTATAATTGTATAGATAATTCACAGAACATTGTACTTTGTACGCAGAACCTAGACTAGGTATGAATTTAGATAGAAGTCTAAATTTTCCAGACATTATATCTCAATGGAAAGACTTAAATTATTTTAATCTCTAACATCTTCCTAACTTTCCATGGTGTAAAATTCTTTGGTTTTATTTTTGTTTGTTTGATGATTCGTTTTGCACTTTCATAGTACTTAATAGTAATTTCAAGTGTATATTGAAAAGCAGAAGACTAGATGGGAATTATGAAATAATGCCATATTTTAAGTCTTATGACGTATTCATTCCATTATTAGAATTGAAAGGTTGAAAAGTCACAAAATTGGTGCTGCTATCTTCATCCTTATTCCCTCAGTAAACAAGTCTAAAAAGCACTTGAGATCTGAGATAGGCCTACAATCTCCCAGATAATACAGTGCAAGGAAGTGTGACTAGTAAAGAAAAGTGATCTTAGCTAATGTTCCCAGAAATTACTTCAAAACATTGCTTTGATATAGAATTTCAAAATCAATTTGAAAGAAAAGGAAATTCTCCAAATGTTGATTGCTTGATGGATTTTTAAGTAGAATGGTCTCTAGTTGGAATTAGCCAAAATTAGACACAGGCAAATGGCACTGTTTCAGCAGCTACTAGGATAGAACATGCCCTTATTTTCATCGCTCTATATAAAGCCTAGTCAACTGCTCCTGGAAAAACAAGATCCTTTTTGTAGCTTGTGATCCGTAAATTGAATTTGCGCCCTAATACAATCCTAATAAGCCTTGCTATGAGATTGGAGTCTTGTTTGCAGCATTAATTTGAAAACAAAAGATTGTGAAGTTTGAAGCCTCTGTTTCATCATTATTACTTAGCACATTGTAGTTAAAATTCTTTGACAGTCATTATTTATTTAGCAGTTAGTGCTTCTGTAGTGCTTTACAACTGTTAATTACCTAACACAGACAGCAGTAAGAGTGTCCTGATTTTTATAGATGGAGAAACTAGCTAAGCCATTAAGATATGCCTGGGGTTCAATTTCATTGCTCTTGACATCTATTTTGTTGCTTAATTCACCAAACCCTGCAGCTTCCCAATTCTTAAAAAGAATGATGAGCAACATTTGGTGTATATTTAACATTTTTGACAGCCTTTTCTCCTTTTGCTGTTTTTCTTTGGATATAAATTTCTGATTTTATGGCAATGAAATGTGTTGGCTCATGTCAACTTTTTCTTATTCTCTGGAGTGCTTTCATCCTGTAGAACTGAAATTAGTTAGCATTAGGAAGCAGATCAGCAAATAGATGGTCTGTTTTGGCAGACTTTACACATGAACCATGTTTTAAAAACCAATTTGTTGAATATTAACTACCTAGAATTACTAGCCAAAATTATGCTTTTGACTTGTACTTGTAATGTATAGTACACACAAAGTAAAATTCCACTCATTCTTATTGATCTTACTTGAGTTTTTGGGGGCGATTTGTTTTGTTTTTGACCCTTGCTGGACATTTAATTATTAAAGTGACAGCAAGCTTAAAGATGCTATTTTTCATTACTCATCATTGTATATAGATAGTGTATCCTTTCCTTAGTCCTAGAGATAAAAACGTTAGTGGCTCAACGTGGCTATGTTGTAACTGTTATTTTTATGATGATGATGATACTGATTATGGATCATTCAGCAGACACTTTAAACATGTAAAACAGCTCATAATAATTTATTCGTTTTTTTATGTATTAAATTGATTTTAAGTATTTTGAGCACATTAACAACTGCCCATTTTTAGATAATTAAAATGACTTTTCATTTTAATATTTGACTTCTTTTGAAGTCAGAGTTCTTTAAGTCTATAAAAGATCTGATGTTGAAGAGCAGTGAATACAAGATGTGAGATTAATGTAATATTATTTTAGCTGCATATTTCAAATGAATTTCAGGCTCTCGCAAACTCCTGACATTGGCAGTTTATGAAGATGGAGTTTTGTGTTTTGGAAAGGGTATCACGGTGCTTTCTCTTAGGTTAATATTCTGCCCGAGGTTATCATATCTACAATCATGAGCATGATCCATGTAATCACAATGCCTTTCATTCCTAATGGCAGGCTTTGCAGCCACATACTGACCCCTAGATCTGTATTCTCACTACGCAAGTCACTTTCTTGGGACAAATAGGATTTGGGGTTCTCCTCTTCCTCATGGTGCTGTAGCTCCCTGAGAGCATTCTACATTCCCTTCCTTGGTTTCTCTTATCCTCATCATTACCAATATTATTTTCATCCTGTTTAAAAGAAATGATATGCTCTATATTCCTGCATATTAAGTATTTTAGCCTTTTTAGCTGAGGCAGAATTTTCTTTTATGTCCTAAAAAGGCAGATGACTATAAGGCTTTATTTCTGCTAAGTTATTTAGTGCTTTTAGTTGTTGCCACAACAGAAATGGCAGTTGAGGGCAGAAAACCCTGGCTTTGAAGTTGGAAGGTTTGTTATAATGCAAACAGACAGTAGTTTTTGGTTTGGGCTTTTTGTACTTCGACCATAGGGAGGAAGTGATGGCTCTGCATGGTTTGTTACCCGTGCTCTCCTCTTCAGTGGCCGAAGCCAGAAGCCAGGGCGCCTGTGTCAGGAGTGGCACAGACATTTTATTTAATATTTGGCGCCTGCATTTTCATGTTATCCCATTCTTTGCCCTTGTCTTTTCCTTCCTCGGTCACCACCTCAGGTGACCAAGTCTAAGTCACTCTAGAGAGGAAACCTTCAGGCATCACTGACAGTGCCTCACCCCTATGGGATTTCTGTAGGAGGTCAAACTGGCTCAGATACTTCACCAGCTGCTTCTCCACAGCTCAGCCCACTCACCCTTGACTCTCAGTAGTTCCTGTTCTCTCCCTTCCACTGCCTGTCAAGGACCCAGGGACCTGAGGGGACATACTTCCTGTGTTTCTTGTCCTCTGTACTTTGTAGACTCTCAAATATTTGCCAAACCCACTCCTGAATGAGTGACATATTGACTAAAGTAAGATGGAGTTTTGAGTCTGAGCCTCTTTTGGCAAAGTTGATTCTTTGCCCAGCTTAAGGATGAGGGCCCAAACCAGGTGGGCTCGAAGAGGTATTTTGATAGAGGGCCTCGGTCATTCTGTATGAAAAGCTTAGAAAATTAAATCTGTTTTGGATCAGTGATCTTGCTAGAACTTGGAAAGGTGCTGGCATTCAAAGAATACTCCCTCGTCTCAGAAAAGATTTTTCCATTTGTGGTGGGACAGTCCCCTTTGAGAGCCTGATGGCAGCTATCACCACTCAGAAAAACACACTGTATGTAGTTTTTGAGCAATTTCAGACGACTCATGGCTCTCTTAAAATAATACTTGAATACATCTCTTTGGAATTCATGAACTCCAGATGCAAAACCTCAATGGGTTATACTTGTTAGATAAAATTCAAAATCTCCACGGTCAGTTTTTATTTAATATGCTTGGTTTAATTCCACTAAACTACCCCTGCCCATCATAATTAATTGGGGGAGTCCTATTAGCATGCAAATTCCTGGGGCTGTGATAGACCTAGGCCTCTGAGTTTCAAGAAACAGAGTCTAGGAAACTACATTTTAAAGTTATTCTCCCTGGATGAATCTTAGGAAGAATAGAGTGTGTAAGTAAGTCTAGGAGATGAAGCTGGCAAGGCCTGACATGGTTTAGAGAAACTTGTGTGAGGCAACTTTTTATGATTAGGAAACCAGGTGCAAAAAAATTGCCCCCCTAAGCCTTTCTGTAATTTGTGAAAAAGTCAGATGGCTAATGAGCATTTCGCAGAGATTAGCAAAAATGAAACAAGGAAAAATGCAGATGTGAAAGCCATTTTATTTCAACCCAGTGTGACTAGTTTTAAAATCTTTAGAAAGAGGTTTGGCCAGTGTGAGACATTTTTGGGGAGAAGCTGCTTCAGCACATTAGGATAGGAAACAGTATATCTTGGATGGTTAAAAAAGATAGCCCAAGAATGGCCTCTGGGGAAGAGGATTTAGTAATACTCCCAGATCTGTTTGGCCCTGAAGCCCGGGCGTGGCTAGATAGCTTCGCCCTCCAGAAGGCTTTGCATCAGGAACAAAAGCACAGGTTGGGTTCCCCAGCTGCCTTTGTGATATGTGACTTCTGGGGGATCCTATTCTCAGTCCAGCTGGTGGGTCCCCTGAGGGAGCCCATTTATTTGCCTCCTAGAGAGGTGAAGCTGCTCCTTCCCTTTCTGCGCTAGGCAGCAGTGGCCTCCTTATGAGGGGGACTCCAGAACACTTATATCCCATAACTGGGACCTTAGGGAATGAAGGAAATGGTAGGCAGCTGCAACCCTCCCCGCCCTGGCTCTCCTCAAATAAACGACCCCACAAAAACACAAGAAAGAGGAAGAAAACTGCCCATCTCGAATGTTGTGTAACCCAGAGCTCGATTGGTTAGGCTCAAATCCTGGGTTGGCCACTCAATACAGCGACTTGATCTTTTCCTCTGCCTCAAGTTTACTCATGAATAAAACGGGCCTGGACATAGTGCCAGTCTCTTCAGGTTGTGTGAAGACAGGCACTGGGTGAAGTGTCTGAGCACCTTAGTGTTTGTAAGGGTCACGGTCACGGGCAAGTGAACTTGCTTTGCCTTGTCGCGTTTCTGTTGCTTTCCTCCAGATTGTCTATTTCCTATGCTGGCTTGTCCTTGTCCCAGCTTTGCCCACCTTCCTATTCCTCAGGGATTTCTCACCAGACCTGATAAAGAGATTCTCCGAAATCTCGTTGTGTCACACGGCCTCACAGGTGGAAGAAGTGTGGCAGAGGCCTGGCATCATTCCGCAGCCCCTTCTCCTTCTCTCCTGGATGAGCAGTTGGCTCCTCTTCCTGGCGCTTTATTTACCTTTGCATCCCACACCTGAGCCATTACAACCTGAGGTGGCCTTTTAACTCTTGATGAGGGGACGGGAGTTTAACTTCTAACCTTAAATAGCTCCAGCCTTTCTTCCCCTCCCAGCTTTCAGTTGAAAGGATCATTGGGATCCTACTACTCGAGTCAGTAAAAACCATTTCCCTTCCTCGGAGGCTGACTTAATCCCCTCTCCTCTGGTTCCTCAGTGGCATCTCCCACTCTGTGTCTGCCCACGCTGGTGTTCTTCCATAGTTTGCTGGCAATGAAGTAATTATGTAATTTTAGGAGTTCGTGCTTCTAGGAAGATACTTAAGCGTCACCCTAGCCATCGCCCGTTTTCATCTTGCTGTCTGAATAGAACAGATCACACTTTCCTTCCTGGTGCCCTGTTGGATCCAGCAGTGATCCTCTCTGCTTGAGAAGGGTACTAGAACATTGTACAGGTGGCCTGAGGCTCATGATAGAGCAAGTGGCAGAAGTGACTCTTAAAAATCTACATTTATCAAGTAATGTATGTTGTCCATTTCCATAACATCTGTTTTATGATGAGGAAGAATAGGAAGCTGTTATAACTTACACCAATGTTAAATGGCCAGCACTATTTTGTGCGTGCCAGTATAGAGCTTCATAAAGTTCCGATTTTTTGGAGGTTTTTTTTTTTTTTGGTGATGGTGGGAGGGATATGATTTAAAATCCACCAGATGGGGCCCTCCTGGTGACGCAGGGGTTAAAGGCAGAACCATCAAGCTATCCCCAGCCACTGCAGCATGACTTCGATTCCAGGCCAGCCAGGGAGCTGACCCACAAGGCACAGCAGACTCTTAAATCTCACCTGCTGCTCCCCTCAGCAGTGTATTTTTTTTTTTATTACAAAGTTTATTTTTACATCATTTTGCACATTTTTTTTTCCATCTCGATTGTAACCCCCGCAGGTTTCCCATCACCAA